TCTCCATCCTCATGGGAGACTCTGAACTGTCTTGTAAGAATTCCAGCAGCAGCAAAGGTTGTCTCAATCCTAAACAGGATCAGTCCAGGGCGTTCTCCAGTCCAACCCATGACTCGGCTCATTGTCGATCGCTTGCTGCTGTCACCGAGGATTGTCATGTGTGCACATACCTCCTGACAATTCTGTCATTTGTACACTTACGTGTACTTGTCTTTGTTTTCATTACAATTACACACAGTAACTCACAACTTTGCCCTATTTTTCAGGAACTTGCTGATCTCTGTTACTTACTCCTATCTGGTGTTGGGCATTTCAGACTCTGTCTGACCACAGAACAGTTTCACAGCAAACCACAGTCTGTGGCTCCCACACTCAGGCCTGCTTCTGTGTAGTTACCACTTACGTGTCGGTAATTTTTTAGTAAGGATTCCTGCATTTTCATCCTGCACGGAGTCCTGAAAATTATGAAGCTGGTCCTAGCTATAGGGCTAATTGTTTCCAGGCGGGTTTCTACCAAGCCCTCTCTACAGACTGCCTAGGGGCCATCCCTGATTTATTCCTAGAGTAGTTTGTAATGACAGTGATCATTTTCATCAGCATTCACTTGCCAGGGTGATTGTCACAAACCTAAAAGTTTAAGCAGCCTGAAACACTTTTGACATCTTATTACAAGTCACTGGTTTAACCAAAATTAAGCTTTGGTCTAGGTCATCCTTTGTCTTCTGCCAAGTGTACAGCAAGCTCCTGCTTCTTCAAGCCTCCTTCAAGTTTATAAACAGCACACCCCCAAACACTGGTTCATAAAGTTTCCTGTTCTATAAACTAAATGTGTTGTGCAGCATTTAACAATTTCCTTAGCATAATTTGATTAAGGGTATGCAGAATTGCATCAGATGTAATAAAAGTCAAGCCCTGGAATTTCAATTATTCAACACTTGCACTGGAGCTTGTATCCAAGCAGCCCAGTGGCTTGTACTTGAACTGCAAATGTAGCTGGGTGGCAGAAAGGAGGAAAAGTATGGGAACAGATTACTTTCTTAGCTATGACAGATCTGAAAGGACTCTCCTCAAGGTAAGTGACAAAAGGGGTAAACTGCATTTACCTCAGGACGTTCCATCGCACACCTCAAACCATTCCTCAAATTGCAATGTCATTTTTTTTCCTGTCCGTGTTGGATCCTGACACAAAACTGTCACAGGTTCTGACCAAATAATTTGACCACCAGCTCTCCAAAGGCCAAAGAGCAAAAATGTCCCTCCCACATACCCATTAGCTCATATTAAAATGTCCTGGCCCTCCCTGATGGCGCAGCGGGTTAAAGCACAGCACTAAGAAGCTTAAGCCACTTCCGCCTGAGTTCAATTCCCGCCTGCTCCGGAGGAGATCCACATGGCGAGGCAGACCTCTTCTGACCCGCCCGCTGCTCCCCTCAGCAGTGTACTTCGTCGATCTGCCTATTCTGCACCCCACTCTGTCTCTGGTGAATCCTCTCACCCTCCGCATCTCTGGCCTGTACCCCAGCTCTATATGAATAAATAAATGTTTAAAAAAAAAATGTCCTATTTTTCAGCCCCCAAGAAATGCAGAAATTTAAACGTGTGTGTTGGTGCACAGGCGTAATCTGCATCTGGGGGAGGAAAGTTGGGCAAAGGCGCAAAGTGACATTCTTTTTCACAACTCTAGGTAAGGCGCAGCATTTTTATTTCCCTATTGGTCTTCTGAATTCATCTCCAGGTAAGTTCTAAACAGGGTTTATTTCATTGCTCAGACCCAGAGAATATTAACTTAGTGGCCTCACTCAGCTTCCCATTAATTTAAAACCAACAGCATAAACTATCCACAACTGTATTGTATACAACAGAACTCTTGGATGGACTTGACCATGGCCAGGCAGGGAATGCACAGGGAACAGGCAGCCATCGTCTCATTCAGCATCCAAAATAGGACAACCTTCTGGAAGTAACTATTGCTATCCCATGGTGAAATGCATTTCTTGATCTTTTCAACCTGCGTATTCACAGCACCCAAAATAAATAGCAATAATAATTATACACACACACACACACAATTGATTGTGTAACAAGCAATGTTGCAGACCACCCTTGAGCACCAGGCCACCATTTGTCTTGCAAGTATGTTCTGATCCTTGCCTTTATTTTGTTAAATCAGTTGGAGAAACAAAAATAAAAACTGAATTCGTCATTTGGAAACTATTACCTCTTTACATTCAAAAACAGAAATCCCCAATTTTGGCTTGCAATTTATCAGAAGGAAATGTTGGTCTTCAAATGGTCATGCTGTAAGTCTTGGCACAGTGACCTGCTGGCACTTTTTCCAAACAGGTAACACATTCTTCCCCCTCTTTCTCTTCTGAGCACTTTTAAACTACATATAAGTCATGGTTATGTATGTCTTTCCTTTATTTAGCCAATTTTTATCAAGTAGTCACTACGTCCTGGAGACCACAGGGAACAGGATTTGCTCCAGGGCCTGCAGGCAAGGTATCCACAGGTCAGTCTGAATGAAGCTGTTCAGCACCTCAGAGCTCACTGAAACTCAAGCCTGTGCCACTCCCTTGTTCCCAAATGAGACTTGTTGACGAAACATGCTGCAGTAGACTCCTTTGATAAAGAGTGTTTTCTAATTAGCAAAGGCTTTCCATGGTGGGGAGGGGGGTTGAGGAGGAGGGGGAGAGAGGTCAGGCATGCTACCAGTGGGACAGAATTAGAAAATAAAATTCCCTCTGATAACCAGCTCTGAAGTGTGTCTCCTCTGCTGATGGACATATTGCCAAATTGGAAAATGTGATTCTCATCCACATTTGCAGCCTCAGAAAGAGCCACAAGCTCTGCTGCAATTTGCTGCGGCCTAGGTCTGTTTGTGGCTGACAGAAGCTTATTAACACCAAAAAAAAAAAAAAAACTACTCAAACCTGCAGAAGCAGAATATCACTGAGATGACTGTCTTGGCCTTTAGCGGGAACAACACCTGTCTACTTTCCTAGAATGCAGCTAGGTGCAAATCTCCAGGAGCCAGCATTCACCTTTTCAAATTACAAAGCCCAGGAGTGGCAGGGTGGAGAGAATGCAGCTGCTACAAAAAAAGGGAATTAACAGCAGAAAATATATCCAAGCCAGCTAGGAGAGATCTGCTGGCATTTAGCTTAAAATTTCATCTGAGCAGAGACCATAGCTGATCTGTAAACTACAAACTCTCTAAGCGGCATTAATAATTTTTTACAATTACAGGATCCAAAACATTCCATTTTTATGCAAAATATTCAGATAGACTGAATGAATTCAACTGCTTAAGAAGCCTTTATTCAAAAACCGAGCATAAGTTTTTCATGATTAAGTGATAAGAGCTGTTTCTAATGTTAGAAGAAATTTGTTTTTAATGCCACATGAAATTTGTTTTTATATGGTTATTTTATTGTGTTTGCTTTTTAATGATGTCTCAATTCCTGCTAGAACTGTTTCATCTATAGTCATCCAATATTAATATTTACTTTATTTAATTTTAAAGTATATTTCACTTAAAACTATTACAAATATTCTGCTGCTGCTAAAGGTAATTCAGCAGAGACACATATGAAAATAACACAGAAAGCTTGACGAATGTGTGATAGCTGTAACTTGACTTAATAACAAGGTATCATAAAACTATATTATCAAAACAAGAAATAACCGTTCTAGAATATTATAAAATTCACTGCTAAATACATGTTTTAACCTCTGTGCTTCTTTATTTTGGAATTCTTTACAGTGCAGTTTTCACATTTCAATTAAAATTATACTTACGGAAACATCATGTGTTGAAATAGTCCCCAGGTACATATTTCCATTTTTTCCCTAAGATAAGCTCCTCAGCATTTAACCTATACAGGTTATCCTACAGAGCTCTCACAATAAATTATAGTGACTAAAGCCATGATATTTATTTGTACCTTGCTTAACGCAGTATGTAACTACACTGTCTCTTGTTCCTTTTTAGGTTTCATAACTTACTGTACCCGGACATTCTGCTGATTGCTTCCTAACAAATGGGCTCAGGACAGCAGCAACACCATTCCCACTCAGAAAAATGTATGATTTTTCTCCCTGGAAAACACCAAATTTCAGCAACCAACACTAACTCATCATTCACTTTCATTTCCTTTTTCTAATAATTCATTTTCATATCAAAAGGAGCTCTTGTACAGTCCATAACATGTTATCATTTCTTTGCAAATTTACTTTTAGAAAACATCACCAAGAAAAGCAATGTAAATAAAAATATCCCATGGGCATCTCAAGCAAACCATTAGAAGTTCACATTCTCCTGCACTAACTTGGCTGGGAAGCATGAGGAGGGAAAGTCTATGAGCCTTTTTAGTTCTCAGGTAAAACTTCCCTTTTCAAATGCCTCCCCGCACTGTTTCAGACGCAGAAAAACACTGCAGACACAAATACATATACATACACACGCTTTAACAGAAGTTGCTACCATCGCCAAGGGTATATCCCCGTGTTTGAGGTTTGTGTTCTAATCACTTCTTAAGTTACATACTTTTACTTACATACTTTTCTTTTAAAAACTCTTTTTCTGCACTAACTTCAGGGCCAGAAAAACCTTTAGTCTCTGCTTCAAGGTTCCCCACCTTCACCCAGTAATAATCAAAAAACCAAATGCCTTCAGATTCTCAAGGGTTGCCTCTTCCTTTCTCTGCTCAAAGTTGAATAGGAAAGTGGCATGTGGCGTTTTCCCCCCACTTCTCCGTTGGGCTTTTACCTTTAGAATCTGAAGGTTGTTGGTTCCCACTCCCTGGCACCTGACAGGCTGTGATTTCCATACAGGAGAACAACTCCTAGGTTCTTAGCAAGGAGTCAGAAGAAGCTGCTCCCTTCTGCGTAAGCTTATTCTCTAGGAAACAGACTGAAACAGGCCATGCGGAGATCAGATGCTGAAACTGCACAGGACAAGCAACCCTGGTAAATCCAAAGTAATGGAGGCAAATGTAAAAGAGAATATTATTTATTATCTTCTTTACTGTTACTCACATATAGCCTTTGCTCTTTACACAAGTCTACTCTAGAAGGCTGCCTCCAGGCTTTATCAGCCCAAAGGGGCTTTTCGCAGCTGGACTTTCCCTCCTCCACCCCATCCCCCACATCCAAATTACTCCTTTACATGTTCACAGATTACCACAAAAATTTTGTAAACAAGATTTGCCCTTACTGGATCTTGATTTGCTCAACATCCCGTTTCAACATGGAAGGCTAGTAGGGGAAAAGGTAAAAGGTGGGAAGAAGAGTAAACAGGGGTAGGAGAGCAGGGAAAGGGCAACTCTCAGAACTTTCAAGTGTTGCCTTTTTTGAGATGTGTGTTGTGGCTCTTCCTTGAAATTCAATGACTCAAAACACTGACAGCAAGTGCCTGCGTGGTTATTTATATTATAGATCTATAATAGAATATGTGGGCTTCCTCAGTTTGGGTCTGGGCTGTTTTTGTTCAAACACACCACAATCTTCCTCTGGGTGTCTCCCCAGGGAGTCAGGTTTCCAGGGACCCTCCCACCACCCCTTCAGAGCCGGGGTTTCCGGAGCAGGGTCTTGCTGAGGTCTTTGACCTCCTCTGGGCTACTGACCCGCTCATAGCCCAGCACAGCCATGGGCTGGTAGCAAAATTCCTCCACCTGTTTGATCTGCTGGAAGGTGAGGGCGGTCCGCCAGGCGTTGGCGGCTTGCGTGGCATTACGAGCTGACACCACGAAAGGTTTAGATGAGGAGCCCGAGCCGCTGGTCATGTTGAGGGCAAACTGCTCCATTTCAGGGCTCACCAGCAGTCCCACAAAGTCGTATACCCTCCGTAGGGTCTTCACGGGGTCTCCCACCAGGTCCTCGTACCGCACCACTAGGTAGTGGCCCTGCAGCCAGTCCGGGGGCTGCAGGGCCGTCTGCAGGGTCTTGGCCATGCTATTACAGATGACCTCCATGGCTCCCAGCGCATGATAGTCTGCAGGGCCACCCACGCCCTCCTTCTTGGCGCCCAGTTTGTGACCAGCGGCCTCCAAGAAGGGCATGCGGTGGGCCCGAGGGTCCCGACTGCGCACCACTTGCAGGCTCTCACGGATGAGACCGTGGCGCGAGCGGATGCGAGAGCTGGCCACAGCACGGGGGTCGCGCACCAAGTGAATGACCTTGAGGTCCAGGGTTGGGTCTCGTAGCAGCGGTGCCAACACCGCCACGTCGAAGACCCGCACGCCCTTGATGACCAGCGTGCGGTACTTGCGGCACTCCTCCTCGAAGCGCGCTAGGCGCTGGGGCGGGCACTTCTTGCACACGCGGTCATCCACCAGCCCCACGACTTCCTTGCGGTAAGCAGGGCAGAGAGGTGAGGAGCATACCACCTTGTTCGTGGCCGCGCCAAAAATGCCCAGCGTGGTGAGGTTGCGCCCCCCGCTGCCCGCGGGGCTGTACAACTGGAAGACAGACAGGTCACAGCGATAGAGAGCGCTCAGCATGTCCCGCGCTGCACCTTGCAGGGAAACGGCGTCCCCTGGGTACAGTTTTTGCCATACATGCCACACTGGTTCGTAGAGGAAGAATACCTCGGGGTTCTGGTTGAAGAGCTCACCAAAGAAGGACGAGCCCGAGCGCCACGTGGTGAACACGTACACCAACTGACGCTTGTCCCCGCTGCCCGCAGTGCCTCTAGTGCCATTGCTCGGAGGGGCTGCGGCCCCTGACAACCCCGCCGCTGCTGCCGCTTTAGCCGCTCCGACGGCGGCGGCAGGAGGGCGGTACGGGGTCCGGGGGTCCAAGCGACTGTGTGCGCGGGGTGGAGCAGCCGGGGGAGGGCCAGGGCGCCCCCAACTGCCCCCAGCTGCCCCCACCGCGGCACCCAGCGGGCCGTCCGGGCTGCACTGCTGCAGCGGTTCCTTGTGCCACTTGTAGTCCAGTAGATTGAGCATGGTGAGCACCAGGAGCAGCGCATAGCCCGCGCACAGTACCAGCGCCTTCCTGCGGAACACCTTCATTCCGAGCGGGGACGCGGGCCAGCGGCGGCCCGGGCGCCGGGGCC